CTATCTTGTAACTGAATATATAACACTGTTATGGATTTGTAAAATTCTAATTCTATGATAAATAAATCATTAAAATATAATTAGAAATAAATGCTGTTCCAAGAATATTTCATAATTAATTTATATTATTTAGGTTTTATCAAATATTACTAAAATGGTAGGTTAAATACAGTTTTGCTATAATACATCAAACAAATATATTTATTATTGTAATACCAATTATGTCAATTATGATTATTATTACTTTGTATATCAAATGTTAATATTAATCGTTGTAAATATGTTTATAATAATAATAACTAAAAATTAAAGTCAATATTTAATTGTGTAAGTATACTAAAAATAATAATATATGTAATGACAAAAGGCTTCAAAAGTCTTTACGAATATATTTTTTGAATTACTTACAACAAATTAACTAAAATCATTATTAAATTTTGGAGAAAGCGATAAATGAATATTGAATATGTATTACAATGATCTGTGTTTTTTTAATTTTTGTAAAGACAATTTTTCTTATTGAAATAATCTGAAAATTAACTGTGATAGAGATCTTTAGTAGAACATTTAATTTAGTTGGTACTTTTGAGAAGTCAGAGTTGAAAATGTTCAATACTTTATAACAATCGTGAGAGAAACCTACATTTGATAAAATTTTGTATGATTTTTAAAATGATAGTTTGATAATTTTGGTGTAAATATACGCATAGAACAAATTTAAAAAAAGTTAAGCACTACATTATATTACTTATATATATTTATATTATTTTTAGAAAATTCAAATATAATTATTTTATAAACATTTTAAGCACTTAAGAGTACACTACACAAACATTTGTTTTCTTCGTCTTACAAGTGCGTAACTTTGCAAATTTCTGCTCAGAAAATCAGGTTTAGCTTCGTTAGTTTAAAAATTAGAGTGAATCGACCTATAATGAAACCTGATGGTAAGAACATTTTTTGTGTTTTTAAATGGTTTTTTTTTACGATAGTTTAATTTTTTAGCAAGTTTTGAGTATGTAAAATATAGTAAATTAAAAATGCTTATATCTCACTTAAAAAATGAAATTATCGTAAAAACCCACATACAAACACTGAAAATGTTCTTACTATCAAGTTTCATTATAGGTCGATTCACTTTTATTTTTAAACTAACGAAATTAAACCTGATTTTCTTAACGTAAATTTGCTATGTTACACACTTGTAAAACAAAGACAATAAATTCCTGTGTAGCATCCTCTTAAGGTTATTTATTTTTGAACTATTAGGATAAAAAAAAAATCTATCTTATTGAAAACTGGGTTTACGTAAATACTTATTTTTTCAGTTAACCGTGATTTTTTTTTTTTAGTTTTCCTGGGTATTAAGAAAAGTAGTGGAAAGAATTTATTTTTGACTCATCAAAGCACCAATTTTGTCCATTTTAAAGATCAAAGCATGTTTTTACTATAAAAAGTGTCTTTACAAAACAAAAAATATCTAAAACCTATACAATAAAAGTATACCCACAAAGCTAAAGTATGTAATATACTAAAACTGTATATCAGGTACTTTTAATATACTATAGTACTATAATACAATGGAACTCTGAAAGAACTTATAACGTATTAGACAATTAGATAATTAGATGACATCACTATACCTAAAATAGGCTTTTTTATAATATTTTTATTTTTTATTATTCTGAGTTAACTATCTGTATTTGGAAGCGTAAAAAAATAATTCCCGTATAAATCCATATGTTAATATACAGAATCAAACTTAATTATCCAGATAATACCTTAAATAATACCTTAAATATTTCTAAAATTAGCTCATTTTTTTTCTTTATCAGGCGTAATCTCTGGTTATCTTGTTATCAAATCTATGCTAATAACATTTATATATATATGTATAAAATAAAAATGAATGTATCTATGTTTCAATATACACCAATTATAATCCGTCTTATGATTATTCAGTTTATAGTAAAGTTCTCTCTCAACATAAAATAAATTTAAATTGTTCTAATTAAATAATTAATATATTATTATACTATTTAACTGGATACTTAACATGTTTGTAATTTTAAAAATACTTATACGAATAGAAAATCAAATGATTTATGATAATTTATTTAACTATATATTTTCTACGCTTTATATTTTTAAATAAAAATAATAAATTACGATAATTGTCAATTATTAAAAATTGATTGGTAATAAACTGATTAATTGTATGAGATCAATCAACTATAGTTATTTGGTCTATTTAAATAAAACGATGAGACTTTTTGACTGTTGAAATTGTAAAATTTTAAATACAATGAAATGTCATTACTAGCATTACTATATATAGGAGTATTTCTATCTTTATAATACATTTGAAACTAAATTTTACAATTAAATAACGTCAATATTTGTATGGATTATTTAATAATTAAAAGGATAAAAGGTTTTCTGTTTTTATAAATAAGCGTTTGTTACAGCACAATCAATTTTTTTAGTTTCTACAAATTTTGCAACATTAGTTCTCAGATTCTCAATGTAATTCCTGCCCAAATTGGATTTTTTTCAATATTTGGTCAGCAACCACTAACATTATAAGTAACTAGTAAGCATATAATAATATAATATTAAATAGGCGAGATCTTATAAATTTTAATGATATTATGTATTTATTGTTTAATGTAAAATTGTTATAATAGTCATTCAATATTTTCTATAATATTGATTAAAAATAATTTGAAATTTAAAATCATAAACAGTTATTGTTAAAAATACACATGATTATCTAATATCTATTTACTTCAAACGTATGTTGATATATCAAAAGCTTTGTTTAACACAGTAATATTACACACCTATATAGATAGGACATTCGTTTTTTAATGATTTTTTTTTTTAGTCTATAGGTCTTTTATTTAGATATATTTATATTTAATACATATATTATTAATTATACACAGTTAGATAATTAGATCCGTAAACAGGTTGATGCTATAAAAATACCTAACACTAATAATACTGAATAAGTATATTATTTGGCAAAAATTGTCAATCAGTATTTGCGTTTTTGTATGTTTTGTAAGTTTTTATATATCTAGAATAAATATTATAATATTCAAGTATAAAATTACTAATAATTAATTATTTTTAAGTTAAATTAGATTTTAGAACGAATATAAATTTTTAGTAGCTACATTTTTAAGTATAAGTCTGTTTCTGAATTTAAAAATCAAACCATATATTATGTAGAATGACAGAACGCACATTTTATATGTATTAGAAATTAATAAAACATATACTTTTAAATATACAAATACAATCAAATATTTTGAACAGAATTCAGTTTATTACCAAAAAATATCAAGATTTAGTAGTACAAATAAATTTTGATTAAAATAAGTTATTAAATGGGTATATATTAATGTAAATATCAGATAAATAGGCAGGTAAGCGAGTTAATAAAATATGTCTATCCAAATATTATTAAAAAGTAACCGTATAGAAAGAACTAATCTTCTTAATATAGAATTTGTACATTAAGAATTTGTTTTAAATTGCTATTAGATATATTCTGGGAAAATATTTCTATTATTGGATTTTTTTAACGATTTGTTTAATGTTTTGAGCCAACATTAAATGTTTTATTACCAAAAAATAAGATTTAAGAATTAAAACACGTCATGAATATTAAAAGCTATGAATAAAGTTTATAGTTTTATAACTATCGATATTTTATATGTACTAATTCGGTAATACCGTTAAAAATGGATCCGGAAACAACACCACAGATAGTGATAATCTTGAACTATTTTTTAAGTTAAAACGTACTAATGGCCGGGAAATTCAAGTCAAATAAAACATGAGTTTGTAACAGGTAATCAAAACAAAAAATTAACATTAGTTAACTATATTTGAAAACCATATTACCTGTAAATATAATATATTAATTAATTCAACTCAAAAGCTGAGTTTACATGTGGCATGGTATGAAGATGCGAGTATTTCTAATGATTTTCTATAAGTCAATGTAAATTTTAGCGCACTGTGTTGAATAGCGATAGTATATAATATTATCTTAATTTTTCTTTATTCATATTTTTTTGATAGCTATGTATGGTATATTTATAAACCATAAATGCCATATTATATTTATTGTATAATGTAGGGTTTACTATTTGAGTAAATGAGGTAAAATGTAGAAGTACTATTACTTCTATATTATATAATATAGCCAAAGTAATATATTTTTTAATTAAAGTAGGTATTTTAGCATATTTTTTTTTTACTTTTTAATCGACATTATTAATGGACATGTTATTATAATATGTCATATAATAGTATAAATGTATTTAGTATGAAAAAACTTATTAGAGGAAATAGGTGGTATAAATATTGCGTCAAGAAACGTAAATACGACTTAGATATAGTAATATAAATCTTACTATAGACACTGTTTTTAAAGTTTTAAATAAATATAAAATATTATTCTTGGTCATAACACAATTAAAATTTAAAAAAAAAAGAATTACGAAAACTAAAATTAAACTAAACTAAGTAAAGTCGATTTCCTACCAAACTTTTTGATAAATATTTTATTGGTATTTAATTAAAATCGTTCTTAAACCTTATATGAATGTATGCATGAAGAAACGACAAAAAGTTAAAACTAGGTTCAAGGTGTAATAAATAGATACCAAAGTATAAAACATATTTTATATAATAGGTACTCAAAAAAAATAATTGATTAGGTACCTAAGTAAATAACGCAACGAAACTACATGTATAATACACCCAATACCATAGTATTACAAAATGTATGATATTATATTACATACGGTCTATGATTTAAATAACACGATATGATTAGTAAATATCTTAATCATATTTATCATATTACAATCATATACAATCATATTCGACACAATAAAATTAGTGTTTATTTATATCATTATCCAAACAATTCATATAAACAGAGTACGATAAATAAATGCATATCGAAATCCTAGACTTACCGAAGTTTTCATTATGCGGCGACGATGTGGAAGTAGACGAATATTATTCGCACAGAGGGCGACGGTTCGCGCGTAAGTATAGGTATGTCCCAGTGTCTAGGTGTGTATATATATGTGTGTTATAAATTCGACGGTGTTTTTTCGCTAGCACTCGGAAGACGCAACCCGCGAAAACGGATAAACAAATCGCTTCGAATTGGGGGGGGGGGATAGGAATGAAAAAAAACAAAACGGTTAAATTTATCACAAAGGGCGTCGGGTGAAACTTTGGCGCGCGTGAACTTACGACGCGGTACGTTCACTCGTCAAATTCGCGGCGGCACACACACACATACACTATCACTGACACATGCGATCGCGAAACGCGTAGGTACTCGAGAGAGAGACTCGCATACACGACGCACGCGATCGTCCGTCCGCCGGTCACCGGTGATCTGCGGTGCGGTCGCGTAACGCGTCGTCTACTGTTTGATATTGTATCGTAATAGCGGTCGCGCCGGCCGGCGACGACGGCTTCCGTGGAACAGCGGACCGTCCGCCTGCGCGTCCGACGGTGGCGCGCCCGCGGCGGCGGCGCAAAGCTCGCGTCGCGGACGTCGCGCCCGCCCGCTGTCCCGCGAGATACTCTGGGCAGGCTGTTCGAGACGGCAAACTTGGCGGGAAATCCTGGACCCGTCCGCACCAGGCTACGCTACCAGGGTCACCTCCATCGTCAACGTTATGACGTAATACCACTATAAGAGTTTACTGCCTGAATTATTGTTAGTGTGATGACGGGGAGGGGGGGATAGGTGTGGAGACGTGTAACTAAAGGCAGTAAAACTGAATACAATCAACTCGACGTTTAGGTATTTTAGTGTACCGTTATTATTATTGTTATTTTTTTTAATTAAGATTATAGTATTTTATATAGGAATCGGCAAAATTATGAAATCTTAACATTTAAAAAAAAATTAACAAAATGTATGAAAGTATTTGTATTCAATAGAGTGATAAATGTTAATTTTGTAATATTTAGGTATAAATTATAAAGTGATAACTGATATATATATATATATATATATATATATTTATATAATAAATAGATACTTCTATTCTAGCTCTTTAATTACAAACGTTAAAAGACTAGGGAATTAAGAATATTTATCCTAAAAGATAATGTTATAAATAAAAATGTTTTCTTACTTATAGAATTTGTTAAACAATGATTAATAAGAAGTATTTGATTACAATGTTAAATGTTCCTATTTAGTAAAACCCATTGAAAAGCTTTGCGTTTCTTGCATATCATTACATGTTTAATGATAAAATTAGAATTAGTATTGATTTTAGAAAAAATAAATAAATAAACCTAACCTATATTATTAATTTTATATAAATACTAATGAAATTAAATATTATAAATTAATTAATAAATTAATATATTTAAAATTAAATTTGATTAACATTTAATTATTTTTATATTTGAAAAAAATAATAATACTTCCTCAATTACCTGCAAAAGTACCTAACTTACTCAAGCTTATGATTGAAATACTTTTAAAATCATTGGATCATGGTTAAGAAGTATGTTTAAAGGGAGTGTAAGGGAAAGTGAAGTCACCACGGTTATAGTTAGGGACGTTTACTTTTTTTTGAATCACTTATACTATACATTTTCCAAGTCAAGCAATGTATATAAAATAAAACTGTGTAATATTTTTTCTCGATAAAAATCTCTGTGGAAACTAATGACGGTAAAAATTTTTCACAAAGATCGATCCAATATTCCATTTCACCTTTGATAGCGACCATTATATTATACTATGATGTTACTATGATATCGTTGCTCATTTCAAACGAACGCTGCAACACTTTTAGTGACGCCACAAAGAACAGGTGGGCACAACAGTAATAATATATTATAAACGTTTGGAATTTTTTCGAATTGTAAGTCTTTTTTTTCGAAATTCAATTATTCAAATGATACTGTTTATTGTGTGTGTTTAGAGTTTCAGATTTCAGAGAACAATAAGATTTTCTCTACACTGTAGTAATGTATACTCTATAATACTCCGCCGATCGACATTATTATACATATAACTGTTGTTGTTTTATCCGTTTTTTATTTGTTCATTCCCTTTTGACTTTGAACGCAATCGATGAAAATGTGGTTTTGAAAAACAAGACTTGCTGTATTATTATTATGCGGTTTGAAACTATTTAATTTAAACCTTTGTAGTTTGTATGTGAAAACTCTACGACGCGATTTAGAATTGTTTTAAGACGCATTTATCAAACGGGAGTGGGCCAAGGTCGAATTTTTCGTTCGAAAACCATCATCGATAATATTTTTTTCTTGAAATGCTACATAAAAAATAAATGTAAAAACTCATCTAACTTTTGTAACATGATTTTTTATACATTTTCCACGTGGTTTTAATAATATATTTGACATTTAGAAAACAAATTTACTTAACAATATATTATTGAAGTGTTACATGTTACAACTGTAGAAAATATAAATGTCCTTCCAAGTCCTAAGATTTAAAGTAGTTATAGAATTAATAAAGAAACATTTATTTATATATGTTTTCGTTCATTTAATCTATAGGTAGGTGCATGAAATGAAATGTTTTAATTAAATTCGATTATTTCTCTCAATCTTGAATCAAGAGATATAGGTACCTAAAGATTGCTCCTCAAATATTAATTGTTTTAAAGCGATGAATGAAATAAAAACTCTCTTACCAAACCACTTTACACCATTAAATTATTGAATGATACTTGGTAATTTTTATCCATGTATATAAATATATATAAAATATGAATATAATCACTTCAATAAAATTATAATGTTATACGATTGGTAATAAATAATAACTAATGAGTAATGACAACCATACCTATATAATATGCTGTAAAAGTATTTATTCAGTGTATGTTCATTCAATATATTAGTGCTTAAAGAATAAATTAATAATTGAAAATGCTCTCATCTTGGATCTAATAACTAAATAAGTTGTTATATAAATATAATATAATATATAGTATTGAAATGATTAACTTTGATCAATATCATAATTTATGAATTACCTTATATTATTCATAGTTTTATTTATATTGCGAAATATTCTAAATAACGTATGAATAATGCATTAAAATTGTAATTTCAGAATTGATTTACACTGGATTTTTGATAATAGGTACATATTTTATTTAGTTGCTAATTCGATTGGTTTTGAAAAATACCATTGAACTTTAAATACTGCAATAATGTCTTAAAGACACAATAAATAAATATGAACGAATGACTATAAAATATTTTTTTAACTAGAGAACACGTGACGATTGAAACTGCCGTAATTTAAAATAATATATTGTAATATTATTGTATAATTGTAGATGACTGCCACTTTGATCTTAGTCGCACTTAGCCATCTGCAATTGTACAGGTGTTTCGGAAACGGATTTTTTAATGTTCAATGACTTGTAAAGCGGTGTGACTTCCGGAATTTTAGAGTGGTATCTTAGAGTCTATCTAGTTGTCCACTGATTGACCATGGTTAAAATTTCCCGAACCAATTCATGTTTGGCGTTATTTCGTTGTAGTTTAAAGAGTTTATACACCTAGAGATGTATTTAAGCAATCTCTACGAGTGACAACTTTTACATGGAAATTCACGTTTATAAATTACTAAAATACTATATTTTAATGAAGTTATTATTTAACCCAAATTATGCATTTAATTATCAAGACTAATTATTAAATTCAGCTTAAATAAATAAAATTTAAAAATCCTTATATTATGATCTATTATTATAATCTGAGCTTATTTTCTAATAATTATACCCATCGGAAATTGAATTTATTTACATTTAATTAATTCTATATTCACACTTTTTAAATTATGTATATTTATTGTTGAGATTTAGTAAACAACATATAGTTAAAAATTAAAATTGCTTTATGACGACATAAAATGAACCACGTAATTTGGCCGTATTAATCAATATTGAACATACAAAAAAATACACAAAAACCGTAAGAAATTCAGCTGGAACTTAAGATTTTGTGCGTATTAACCTACATGACATGTTAACTGATGATGTACAATTTCTACAGTAGTTTATTTTTCTTTGTTAAATTTTTTACTATTGTATTGGAATATACAACATATTCTTTAAAATATATTTTTATGATAGATGTTACCTAATATAGTACCAGTGTACATTTTTTTAATGCACTTGTCTTAGAAACCTATGAATCCAAATATTTGTACACTTAAATTAATCTATAAATAATACCTGATCGAGTCCAAAAAACGTTTAAATAAAATTATAAACTATAAATGAAAGTATAATAATAGTTCTATAAAATTATAGTTTAAGTATCAAATGCTAAGAAATTAATGAATACAAATGTACCTATTTTATTTTATCGTAACAGTAATTTTCTTATTCAATACATATATTATAATATATATGTATTGTATTTTTACATATAATTATACGTATTTTAATTATAATTATTGTTGTCAAATATCGGTACTCAGTGCTAACGATCGATCATACCTTCTATTAATTTATATTTGTATAAAATAGTCTTCTCGTCTTACTCTGTACATATTTAATATTGTTTTAGTAATAAATGAAGTAGGTAGATAAGAAAAAAATTGGAAATTGAATATTAAATAGCTGTTTTATCGAACTTAATATTAGACGTATTATCGAATGGAATTTAGCCATACCTAAATATAATTTTAAATCGTGAACTGAATTTTATAACTCTTTATGCATGGTTTTAATAATAATGCCTACTTCTTTTACACGTACTTTCTACTATACATAATTTATAAATATATTAAGAATTTTTATACTTGCTTATTCGTTTATTTTTATGAGATGAACTTACTAAAAATCAACGAAAGACACACGTAACTATAACCAAGGTTTAACTTGTATATGCTAATTTTCTTTAATATACATCATACAAGCATATTATAGTATACAACTATAATATATTCTAATTAACACCAATATACAAAGTAATAATTCAGCAAAACTAATGAATAGCTATTAATGAATATATCGAATATTCCACTAAGAGCCTGAGAATAGTATAGGTTGTATAATATCTATTTTACCTTGATGCATCAGGAAACAGTCAACGTGTTTTGTTGGTACATTCGTTGGACCGGAAATTTTGTGGCTTGCAAATATAATACCATATTGATTTTAACTACTATATTATACGTAGATCAATGATATGCAAGATACGTTTCGATAGAATTTTATCGCAGTGAATACTCACGATATTAATATTATGCACAAATCAAAATAAATATTTAATTTACTTAAAATAATTGCACTCGATGACGCAAAAACTGTTTAATCAAGAATCGCTGAAAACCGAACAACGCTAAGAAAACTAATAATGGCTACCGTTTCTCGTTAAGACGCCAATGACAGAGAATAATATCATTGGTGAGTATAAGCCGTATTCTAT